AACTCCATATTGTTCTGGTTAACAGTTTCAAAATCGGTTCTTTCTTTAGATATAAAGATAAGCTCCCTGTTCATATGCGATCGTCCCTGGTTTATCAATTTCGTTGTGCACAATGTGCATCTGCGTACGTCGGTATGACTTCACGCAATCTTTATTCCAGGATCGCTGAGCATAAGGGCAGGAGTTGTAGGACCGGACAGTTGCTATCGCGCTCCCCTCATTCGGCTGTGCGCACTCACGCCGAGCAGTGTGATGTGCCTGTTTCTGACAGTGACTTTAGGGTGTTAGCTTCTACCTCCGGTACTTCAGATTTGCGTATCTTAGAATCATTGTACATTTTTAAGCTTAGGCCCAGTTTAAATTCAGCTGTGAGCTCCTATCCCCTTGAAATTGTGAATAAGATAGGTTATTATGTCCTATTACTTGTAAATTTAGGTTCTAATTGTGTTCTGTGCTTTCAATTGTATTAACTTGTGACTTTCTATGTATATTATAGATTCTACGAACTGACGATGGAGCTGGACTCCGAAACGTTTTCTATAAAGATATGAATTTTTGTGGACTATTCTTTGCTTTTAAATTTTTAAACAAATCTTTGTCTTGGAAATTATATCAGTCATTTGTCTCTGTACTGCACGCAGAACTGCCACCCAACACACCCTTATGACCTTATGCACCCACCCCACGGTATTGCATCTCGGCGTCTGCATAGCTCCCTGCACTGAACCTCCAAATGTTGCTCCGTACAGTCACCGACTCAATGCGTACGGGTACCGCCTGCAGGCTCCGTACAGTCACCGACTCATTGCGTACCGCTTGCAGGCTCCGTACAGTCACCGACTCAATGTGTACCGCTTGCAGGCTCCGTACAGTCACCGACTCACTGCGTACCGCTTGCAGGCACCGTACAGTCACAGACTCGCTGCGTACCGCCTGCAGACTCCGTACAGTCACCGACTCACCGCGTACCGCTTGCAGGCTCCGTACAGTCACAGACTCGCTGCGTACCGCCTGCAGACTCCGTACAGTCACCGACTCACTGCGTACCGCTTGCAGGCTCCGTACAGTCACAGACTCGCTGCGTACCGGTTGCAGGCTCCGTAGTCCGTACAGTCAACGCTCATCGCTAGGAGGCTCCGTAGTCACCGCGTACCGCTAGGAGGCTCCGCACAGTCAATGCGTACCGCTGCAGGCTCCGTACAGTCACCGCGTACCGCTTGGAGGCTCCGTCTTCAGCATTTTATCGCATCAACTCATCACGGCCAAAATTATGCGAGGAATCATTTGATCGCGTTAGCACGCACAGCACGTAAAGCTCCTGCTGTGCTGTGCGTCACGTTAGTACGCACAGCACGTAAAGATCCTGCTGTGTGGTGCGTCATGTCAGTACGCATTATGACCTTACGATGAGTTCGGGACTTCCTAGTCCCCGGTCACGCTGATGCGCCGCCTTCGTCGTCCTCCGTCTCCGAGTCGTCGCTAGGCAGGTCACCCCGCCCTCGGGTCTCGGATGTAAGTTCATCGTGTAACGTTGGACGTGTTCCATATATTTACACTCCTTTGGGCCAGCTGAAGCAAGATGCTGTTGCTTGTCACTTGCTGAGGGTAATTTCCCATTACTGGACAATCCGGGATCTTTCTCAACCAATTGTCCAGTCGTCTCTTGAAAGTTGAAAGGGTGAACTCCCCTCCTCTCAGCGCTTTTGGCAAGGCATTAAAGAGCCTCGGTCCTACAACGGACAGTGTTCCTTCACGAAGAGTCTGTACTCTGGCCGCGGCTCGGTTATTAAATGGGGGAACCTTGCACAGTCTCACCCTCCTATCGTGGTAACGTGCTACTATTCTGGAGGCCTCACTCACTAAGTTGGGAGCCAGTCCGGTTATCATCTTCCAAGTATGCAGTATGCTATACCTCTCTCTTCTCCTCTTCAGTGAGTACAGTCCCAGGTGCTTCAGCCTTTCCCAGTAGTTCAGGTTATGCTCCCACATGCCGCTGATCCTGTACGTGAAGGTCCGCTGCACTGCCTCTAATTTCCGCACCGCACCCGCCTGGAGTGGCGACCAAAGTTGGCAGCAATACTCAAGATTGGGGAGCACGAGGGTTCTGAAGAGTGTAATCATTGGTGCTGCTTCTCTCGTTCGAAATGTCCGCCATATCCATCCCATCCGTTGCCGGCTGCGCGTGACTATTTCCTCGATATGGGCATCGAACGTGGCTTCAGTACTCATCAACACTCCGAGATCTCGAACTAGTTGCTTCTCCTCATTTTCTGTGCCATCTGATGCCAAGTAGAGATGTGGCATCCCGATCTATGTACGGACTCTGTATCTCATTACTTCGAACTTGGTGCCAATGAACTGCATATTGTTCACTAAGGCCCTATCGTAGATTGACGACAGATCATCCTGTAACCTCTCGCAGTCTATGTAGGTCATCTATGATCCTCGTCAGCACTCTTGTATCGTCCGCAAATGACGATGTAGATGCGTGGGTGCGTTCCGAGTCTACATCGGCAATGTGGATGAGGAAGAGTATCGGTCCAACCACTGAGCTCTGCGGAACTCTACTTTTCGCCTTCGCGTCTCTCGATTTCAAGTTTCCTATTGCGACAGCTTGTACTCTATCTGTAAGGAAGTTGTGGATCCACCTCAGCAGGCTTCCTCCCCCAACAGCCTCAGCTTTCTAAAAAGCACCACATGGTCAACTTTGTCAAAAAGCTTTAGCAAAGTCTAGGTCTACCACGTCCACGCCAGCTTTCTCCTCCAGCTGGGCCACAGGACGGTGATGGTGCTCCAGTAACTGCGACAAACAGGAACGATTACGCCGAAAACCATTTTGTCCGTTATTGTACAGGTAAGCCTCATCTATATACCGGATAAGCCTCCTGACTACTACCTTCTCAAAAACCTTGATCACATGTGAGGTAAAGGTCACAGGTCTGTAATTTTGGGGTTTGTCCCTAGGACCTCCTTTGTGGATTGGCGTTATCAGTCCCACTTTGAAACCTTCAGGGATAATTCCCTCCGTTATCGAGGCTTACGCACAGCACGTAAAGCTCCTGGTGTGCGGTGCGTCACGTTAGTACGCACAGGGGGCGCATGCCGGAGGCCAGCTTTGCCAAACTTCACAATTAGTTCATATTCCTTTCCATAGGTAAGAACGTTAGAGTGCATAACGCCTATGAAGTCAAGTGCTCAAAGCCATAGCGCCGGATTTCCACATCCACAAAATAAGCTTGCCAATGGTAAACATGGCCAAACCTCCTCTGGCCTAACCTCTTCAGACCTAACCTATACGAGCTGCAACCTTTCTCCACCTAAAACAAACCTGAGCACCGTTGGCCCCGGCAAACTATGCGAGTGTGGACCAGCACGGGACCAGCTATGCACCGACATTCATAGGTGGATTTTGTAGTACCTCAGGTACTTATGACTATATTCGGAGGCACGGAGTAAGTGGTGATGAAGTGTTAAATACTGTTCCTTTTGGCCCCGGCAAACTATACGAGTGTGGACCAGCACGGGACCAGCTATGCACCGACATTCATAGGTGGATTTTGTAGTACCTCAGGTACTTATGACTATCTTCGGAGGCACGGAATAAGTGGTGATGAAGTGTTAAATACTGTTCCTTTTCACGCAAAGACAATAATAATAAGCAGTAGCCGTCGATACCTCATTAATATTGAAATAATACCTATAATAAATTTACACGCCAATTTGAAGAATAAATTTTACGTTATATGAACTTAATCCTGTGTAAAACGTGTGGAAACATTTTTATCCAGCTCGATATTCTCTCCGCTACGATGCACGATTATTCAACAATGTATTAACAGACCTTTCTGCGCAACGAGAATTTTTTAACAGACGAGTTTTTTTGGCGCCTTACATAACCACCGTTATAATTCTTCAGGACTTATGGATTGAGCTTGGTTATGGCTGCAAGAAGTTAGAACCTAATCTCATTGGCTGCAAGAAGTTAGAAAGGCGGTCCAAGTGTGCTGGTAGAGCCAGTCATTGGCTGCAAGAAGGTTGAGAGCCGGGACAGCGTGAATAGGTTAGGCCGAAGTAGGTACAGTCGGATGGAGGACTGCCTGCTTTAAGAGCGAGCATGCTTAAGCATCGGCTGAAGACCTACGGCGCAATTATCTTTCGGCAGTGTGTCTATTGTGTGGATTACGGAGTTCAAGCGTAGTCTGCGGCTTTTAGTTCTGAGGCTGAGTAAAGGTAATGCATGGTGAAGCTAGGCGTTGGCTCCAGGGCTTATTTAAGAGTAATATTTGTGGCCTACGGCTGCGCCCCCACGCACAGCACGCAAAGCTCCTGCTGTGCGTCACGTTAATACGCACAGCACGTCACATTTTGGAATGCCTTCAGGGCTCTTGGTAAGAAGTTGGATCGCTTACATTGTGAGCAAATTGCGGATAAATTGTAAATCCTGGGAAATAAGGCGAATGTTTTCCGTATTGTCACCAGAAAATTTCAGATTTATTATAGATAAATATTCTTTCATTTCCTCGTTTTATTTGCAAAGGAAGAGGAGTACAATTGTAAAAAAATACCGTCTATGCGCCCATAAGCATGTAAATCCATGTATATAATTACATAGTTATTGCCTTATTGGTTACGAATTGAGGGAATAAAGCGTTCCCGAGATGTTTGGAATTAATGGTTGCAATCAGCGCTGGTTTTAAGCAGGTGTGGTACAGGATCAGGACCGGGCTGTCACCCACGCTTTATCGCTCACTTGTTTTCATCCGACCGGTCCACACATCACCCTCTGTGATCTCAAGTCCGACAGCTTCTTCTCACAGCAATAGACATGCCTTCCGGGTAATTCAGCTTTGTTTCCCGGTAATACTGAATCGACACTTTTGCGGACCCGCCAGCGAACTCGCCTGCGGACTCAGCTCAACCGAAGGACTCATAACTCCTACAATACTGAACGGATTTGCTTGAATTATAGATTATAAGTAGTTATTATCGATACGCTGCGGCAGGAATTATTGCAGATTTTTACATAAATAGTCTCTCTATGTTTGTAATCGCAAAATAACTTCTATGTCAAACTACGATAAATGGCATGTGCCTACAGTGAAGCGTGTATTTTAGTAGTTGGTAATTATTATTCTATGCACATCACTCTGAACCCTTATCGAAATGACAAAGTCGATTTAACGAAACTTCAGATATATAAAAGTAGGCTGCGATCAGAAAATTAGGGATTATATTTTATTTCTTTGTTTATGGTGAGATATAATCAATGACTTTTGAACGTGTTCTCTGAAAATCAACATCTTTGCAGAGATGAAAATCTCTGCCAAGATGATTTTATTTTCAGTCAAGACCCGACAAAAAAGTGTGACATAGTTAATAATATTAGAGTGCCTCACGTATGCAAATACATTGTTTTCGTTTTGCTGTTGATAATCATGGCTCAACTATTGTCAAAAATAGCAATGGCCGAATAATTTGTAGGTAACATTTTACTAGATTCGTGGTCTTGGTCTGAAGGTACAGGAAATACATAACACGGATCCACGGTGCCGAGCTACTGCAGTTCCAGCTGATCGGAAATGGCAGCGTTGCGAGTATTTACCATTTCACGGCGTAAGTGAATATGAATTTGATCTGACACTTGTGAAAAATTTTGTATCCCTGCATTTCTGAGAATAATGACATCTTTCTACAACCCCTGGCGAAAATTATGGAATCACCGGCCTCGGAGGATGTTCATTCAGTTATTTAATTTAGTAGAAAAAAAGCAGATCACAGACATGACACAAAACTACTAATTATTCTAAAGTCAATTCAAATGACAAATGGCAACTTTCTGGCTTTAAGAAACACTATAAGAAATCAATAAAAAAAATTGTGGCAGTCAGTAACTGTTAACTTTTTTAGATCAAGCAGAAGGAAAAAAATATGAAATCACTGAATTCTGAGGAAAAAATTATGGAATCTTTAAAAACAAAAGAACGCTCCAACACATCACTAGTATTTTGTTGCACCACCTCTGGCTTTTATAACAGCTTGCAGTCTCTGAGGCATGGACTTGATGAGTGACAAACAGTACTCTTCATCAAGCTGCCTCCAACTTTCTCTGATTGCTGTTGGCCTGTTGCCAGATCAGCTTTGCAGGTTGGTCCGTTCTCCGTTGGACGGGTTGGAGCCTTGTCAAATGTCATGGGCCATTTTCTTCAACTTCCACCAAAGATTTTTAATTGGATTAAGATCTGGACTATTTGCAGGTCATGACATTGACTTTATGTGTCTTTTTTCAAGGAATGTTTTCACAGTTTTTGCTCTATGGCAAGATGCATTATCATCTTGAAAAATGATTTAATCATCTCCAAACATCTTTTCAATTGATGGGATAAGGAAAGTGACCAATATATCAACATAAACTTGTGCATTTATTGAAGATGTAATGACAGCCATCTCCCCAGCATAGTGACAGAGCAGAGAGTTTTTTAGACTCTCCCTCAAGTTCATTTTTGAGTCTTATAAGTAGACCAATAACGTATCATGGATACCAGCAGGATGGAATTCTAATTTCGAAGGTTCATATATTATTTTGATCCACCAAGACCACTTTTTCTACCCAACATCGTTATTTGAGGCAAAAACTGAACTTCTTAAAGGCTTAAAATACGTACACTGCCTTGCTCAGTTTCTATAAAGTACCTAACCACTTTGAAGTTTTATGCTTGCTCCTTTCACTCAACAATTAAAATTAGACTTATATAAAGTATTAGTTAGTTGAAAATTTGTCAATCTCTATAAATCTCATTGGAACAGCACCAAACAAAAGTTCCAGCATCATCACCTTGCCCAATGCAGATTTGAGATTCATCACTGAATATGACTTTCATCCACTCTACAATTGCTTTTCCTTAGCCCATTGTAACCCTTGATTGCTATCATTTAGCCTTTCTGTATGTAAATCCCATTTCCTTTAGGTGGTTTCTTACAGTTTGGTCACAGACATTAACTAAAGTTTCCTCTCATTCGTTCCTCATTTGTTTTTTTGGGCATTTTTGGTTTTTGAGACATATTGCTTTAAGTTTTCTGTCGTGACGCCTTGATGTCTTCCTTGGTCTACCATTATGTTTGCCTTTAACAACCTTCCCATGTTGTTTGTATTTGATCCAGATTTTAGACACAGCTGACAGTGAACAACCAACATCTTTTGCAACATTGCATGATGATTTACCCTCTTTTAAGAGTTTGATAATCCTCTCCTTTGTTTCAATTGACATCTTTCATTTTGGAGCCATGATTCATGTCAGTCCACTTGGTGCAGCAGCTCTCCAAGGTGTGATCACTCCTTTGTAGATGCAGACTAACAAGCAGATCTAATTTGATACAGGTGTAAGTTTTGGGGATGAAAATTTACAAAGTGATTCCATAATTTTCTCCCCAGAATTGAGTGATTTCATATTTTTTCCCTCTGCTTGGTCTAAAAAAATAACCATTACTAACTGCCACAATTTTTTTTCTTTATTTCTTATAGTGTTCCGTAAACCCAGAAAGTTGCCATTCGAAATGACTTCAGTTTTGTGTCATGTCTGATCTGCATTTTTTCTACAAAATTAAACAACTGAATGTACATCCTCCGAGGCCGGTGATTCCATAATTTTTGCCAGCCTAAAATGCCAGGGGTTGTAATAAGATGTAATGGGTATAGTCATATTATTATATGCTGTGGAAAACCAGAGGTTTTTTTAGAATCAGTTCATTCTTAATTTACTAAAGTTTTAAGCAAATTTCTTATGTATGAAAAAAGCTGGTATCAGGGCCTACTTATAAGACTAAAAAATGAACTTGAGGGAGAGTATAAAAAACTGCTTTTCCACTATGAATTGTTATGTGGTGATTATTACGTATTAAAGGGAGCGTCTAGGTGGAAAATTGACAGTATTGGCTTCTCCGGTTTTTAGTCTCATCTTAAAGCTGACATTCTGAGCTATCCAACGGTACCAACACCATCTCTGTATGCTGATTTAAGCGTTCACAATACATCCCAAAAGGGATAGAGGTGGGGGAGTTCTTTAACAAATAAGATAGAGGGAAATTAGCTGCCAAGCACTTAAATAGTGTTTGCTTGAGCTGCAGTCCAGTTACCCGCCTGGTGTCATATGGGGTGGTGTGCAATGTGCATGCAGTCGCTCCCACCATCCTTGATGGGAATCAAGCTACAGTAACGTTTAGTTTTGTATCCTTGCTGCATTGAGTGCCTATTTAGATTGGATATAAGTATTAAACTCACTTGGCTGCTTAAGTCGCAAATTTACCAGGAATTTAAAAGTAAAGAAAATAGCTAAAAAGTTCACCATTTCTTATAAGCGAAAACGTTTCAGAGTCCAGCTCCATCGTCAGTTCAAAAGCTAGAACACAGGTACAAACAATTAGTAGCCTAAAATTCACATTCAAACAATTCACCTTAACTTGAGGACATCAGAAATTCAGAACTAAAATCGAAGATAACAGAAATAAAAATGAGATGACATGTGGAGAGGGTACTATCTATTTACAATTTCTAGAGGATAGGAACTGAATGCTGCATTTAAGCTGGGTTTCTGTTTGAAAATATATAAAGATTCTAAAATTCGTAGGTCAGAAACACCGGTTGTGGAGGCTAAAACTCTAAAATCACTATTGGACACCGGGACGTTGCACTGCTCGGCATGAATACATACGGCTGAATGAGGGGGATGCGGAAGTATGTTCCCTGTTCTATAACTCCTGCCCCTATGCTCTGCAAGCCTAGTATAAAAATTGCGCGATGTCATACCAACATACGCAGATGCGCACTGCACAAAACTATATTGATAAACTAGGGATGATAACATAAGAACAGGGAGAGGATGTTTGTACTTGAAAAACGAGCTAATTTTAAAATTGTTCACTAGCAATACCGTACATAAAGATTTACATTCAAAACCTGTGTTCTAGGTTTTGAACTGACGATGGAGCTGGACTCCGAAACGTTTTCGCTTATAAGAAATGGTGAACTTTTTGGCTATTTTCTTTACTTTTAAATTCCTGAGTGCCTATTGCAATGCACGCAGGACTTTGTTGCACTCGCCTGAACATTCACACTTATTGTCACGGCAAACCTATCTCCTCCTAGAGTTTTGAAGCTGCAGCAATGAGACATATACCATTTGATTCGCAATTAAAATATCTAGAGATTGGTTGTACTTTTCTTTTCAATTTCATTATAGTTTTGAAAATATTTTGAAAAAAAGGGGTGGGAGGAAAGGGGAAAACTGCAAAATTTTCAAAATGTTTTCAAAAAATGCTCCCCCATCCATAAAAAATCAAAATTAAAAAAAAGCTACAATGAATTGATTGATATGGTCCTTACAAATCAAATGATGGTATGTGTCTTGATGTAGTAGCTTTAAAATCCTAGGAGGAGATAGATTTCTATAGTTCACTCTTTGCTGTTCACCCTTTTTTGCTGTTCTCTAAGAATTTCTCGTTTTATTTAATTTTTTTTTGCTGTTCTCTAAGAATTTCACATTTTCTTTAATTTTTTTTTTCAAAAAAAAAAAAAATGACACAAACAAAAAAGTCTTAGAATTCTGTTTTACATGGGTGTGCCAAGTTTCAAAGTGAACCGTCTGTAAATAAGTTTTTTCACTACATAGACGCTCAACTTGAGATCACTTGCTTGCTTAAATCACAAGTTTAGCAAAAATTTAAAAGCAAAAAAAAAAAAAAAAAAAAAACACAGCTAAAAAATAAAAAAATCACCATTTCTTATGAAGGAAAGTATTTTGGGGTCCAGCTCCATTGTCAGTTCAAAACCTAAAACACAAGTACCAATTTACAAAGAATTAGCAAACTAAATAAATGTTGAATATCTTGAAACATAAATTTTCATGAAAAGGAGTAAGAATGATGTAAATGTCGGTAGACAAACCTATCTATTTACAATTTCAAGGTGACATGAACTGTAGGCAGCATTTAACCTAGGCTTTTGTTTAAAAAATATGCCACAGTGCATGAGTGCAGAGTTGCCAAGATACGGATTTTAAACCTGAAATGTTGCTAGCAGTTTTTGGAATTCATTGCCAGCAGTAAGTATTCAAGATGCGTTGCTAGGTAATTTCTAATAAGAAAATACTACTATCAACTTTGATAGTATATCCCATGCTTTCCAAGTACTGCAGCACTCATTTGCATTGCAACAAGCTGCATGTCATCCTGAACATCCAACATACCAGAAACTTTATGGTTACCATTTGTGCTTGCAGTCTTTCATATTTTCAATTATTTTCTACATACGTCCTATCCAATCAAATAATTATTTGAAACTTCTTAATGTAAAACATCTTAACAAAAATTATTTACAAACTACTGTTATTATAATTATTCATAAATTGTAATTCAGATAATAATCATTTATCTTGATTGTAATCTCTGGATTATTACACTATAAATCAGTATTTCATCATTCTAATTACCAAGTAACAAATATTTATAAATTGTGTTTAATATTCTAACAAATTCTTATGAGTAAATACGGTATACTTTAAACAAGAAAGTCATGACATAATGCAGATTTATCTGTATAAGTATATATTTTTTATATCAACCAATAGCATAGAAAGAAATTAATGCTGAAAGGACCCCAACGGCTGGGACAAAAATATATGTGTTTTTTTTAGGCAAGCATCTGCCAAAATTTCAGAACAATTGAAGGTTTAGAATACCATCAGTGAATCAGAATACCATCATACCATTATATACATACCAACAGTGGTGTATACATACTATACCATAAAAGAAGGTAACTGTGTTATACATACCATGGGTATAGGGTGGTATACCTACATAGTACCATCAGTGTGATGTGGTATGCACAACATCACTGGCGTCTGATTGGCTAGTCTCACAAAAGCACAGGAAACAAGCAGAGGTCACGCAGTGCTATGTAATGTCTCTACATTCACTTGGAGTGGGTGTGAAGCCATTAATATAAAGGACAGCATTGTTTTGCATACAATTTTGAATTGCTTATTATAATGTATAATAAACATAATAATGTTTGAATTGTGTATAATAATGAATTTTTCCTCATTCAATTTTGAAATCAAATTAATATCGTAGAAAGAACTTGATTTTCTTATAGATTATGGAAGACTCTAAACTTGCATGATGAATGTGAATTAAATTGTATCAAATTGTTTGCCAATGTCAAGATTAAACTGTTCAAGACAATAGAAAAAACGAGACACAGGACAAAGGGCCAACTAACCTTTTCACTGTAATTTTGTGCAGTGGTGCCCCAAGATTTGCTGAGGGGCAGCAGGCCTCTGCTCGTGAGCAGCCGTCGCAGCAACTACAAGGATGTGTCCATGCCAGAGCCTGACATGAGCTATGGCGCCATCACAGAGAGAGCTGCCACAACCATCTTCTGGACTGAGTTGGCTCGTGGCTTTGCCGTCACTCTTGGCACAATGTTTAAAGAGCCTTGCACCATCAATTATCCTTTTGAGAAGGGTCCTCTAAGCCCTAGGTAAATTTAATCAAGCTATAATGCAATTGTTTCTTTTGTGCAAAATTTATAGCAATGTCTGAATGGCTACATGCATACTCTTTATTTTTTATAGATTAATAGACAGCCTAGAATTATTGTTATACCTATATTACCATCATAATATTGAAAAATAAATTTCATTTGCCTCATGATAGTTTATTATTCATCAATTATTGAATCAGTTAGATGTATGTTTCACAATCAGGTTCAGAGGGGAGCACGCACTCCGTCGCTATCCAACAGGAGAGGAGCGCTGCATTGCCTGCAAGCTATGCGAGGCCATCTGCCCTGCTCAGGTATGGTATTTTATGCCTCAGAATGATTTATATCTTGTGATGTACCTTTGAGATGGAGGAATTGAACAAACCTATGCATACTAAACCATACCAAAATTGTTGAAGTTTTTTCTTGATTTCATTATACATTCATCTTTAGTTACTTTTCTAACTTTTATTGAGTTTCTTCACCAACTGTGAGTGGAATTAGTCTACTACCTTCGGTTAATATTTATCCTGTCATTATATGCATTTGTTAATTTATATAATGAGGAACTGTTAAGAACTCTGTATCATCACCAAACTTGGTTGCTTCTGTTCACTCCATCACACTTAAACTTAATTGATCTTTACTTTAAAGAGCATCTTTGATGATCTTTCTTATTCATCCAAATTAGGTTTTCACCATCACCAAACTATACTTGATTACTTTTCTCTACTCTGTCTAAATTTGTTAATGTTTTTAACTCAACCAAACTTGTACGTTTTCTGTTAATCAAACGGACTTGGTTGTGATGCTGAGTTGGTTGCTGAATGCTTAATGTGGCATTGTATTCCGCTGACTGCACACTCTTCGTTGCCACCTTTCAGTTCAAACTTTCCTATAATGCGGCAGTTGTGACAGCACCTCCTCCTATACTACAACTTCTAAAAATATTTTGTCCTTGACCTTACAAATACTACCAGGCTGTGCTCGGCCTTATCTTCCTCCAGTACAAATACTACCATGCTGTGCTCGGCCTTGTCTTCCTCCAGTACAAATACTACCAGGCTGTGCTCGGCCTTGTCTTCCTCCAGTACAAATACTATCAGGCTGTGCTCGGAGGCCTTGTCTTCCTCCAGTACAAATACTACCAGTCTGTGCTCGGCCTTGTCTTCCTCCAGTACAAATACTACCAGGCTGTGCTTGGCCTTATCTTCCTCCAGTACAAATACTATCAGGCTCTGCTCGGTCTTATCTTCCTCCAGTACAAGACAGGCTCATTTCCTACCTACAGTGTTTCCTTGCCTTGGCTCTTCACTCTAGTTTCCCACGGCATCTTGTCCCTCACAGCCCGGTGGTCAAGTCTCTTATCTTGTCTTCAATTGCTCAACGTCTTGGTCACCCTCAAAATTTCATAGAATTGTTTTCAGAATAATGTATAGTCACCTATCTATAATCCACGTCATGTTCACGTGTACATCTTTATGCAGTCATTTTTTAGCTCTCACTACATAAGTAGGAGGCGCGGTTTGTAATAAAAAGGTAAAGCTAAATTGCCATTTGGTAACTTCTGCAGGCAATAACCATTGAGGCGGAGGAGCGGGAGGATGGCGCTCGCAGGACCACGCGCTACGACATCGACATGACCAAGTGTATTTATTGTGGCTTCTGCCAAGAGGCCTGTCCTGTCGACGCCATTGTTGAGGTACTGCTCTTCATGAACTCCTTACATATACTATTATATTAATGTCATTCCTATAGACTCCCTCCTTATTAGGCATGAATAAAGCATTATTTAGTGGGTGAATATCAAGGAACAAGTTCACACCTGGTCAATTCAATGAGCAAGTGTTTGAATTGGAAATGAGGAGTTAAACATTGGGAAAAGTTTGAAAGTAAAATCATGAAACATAAAATATAACGTTACAACGTCTGTTGGAATTACTCGACTAGTAATGTTAGATTTGTTTTCACGAGTATGTTATTAAACGAATGTTATTTATATTTACAAACCCTCCGTACTACAACGACTTAACACTCAGACAATAATATCTTGCATCTTCAGGGACCCAATTTTGAGTTCACGACCGAGACGCACGAAGAGCTGCTCTACAACAAAGAGAAGCTCCTGAGCATCGGCGACAAATGGGAACCTGAGATCGCAGCCAACATCCAGGCCGACTACCTCTACCGATAGTAGCCGCTCGTTAATGTGTACATAGTTGTGAGGCTGACAGCGATCTCGTGCAAGACATGAACAGTTCAATTTGTTGCCACCACGGGCTAGCCGCAGGACAACAAAACTGAACTTTTTCTACCAAATCAGCCGAGTACGAGGCGGGAATTTTGTTCTGAGGCGTTAATAATTATAGGTTACAATGACCTAATTTATGTTATTCTCTATAAGTTCTGTGAACGCCTAGTGATTAAGCTGATGTATTTACTTTTGAACTTGCAGGTTATGGGAAAAAATGCGTTAGGTTGAACTATCGTTTCACGTTCAAGAATATATCCATAGATAAATGACAGAGAAGCAATTAAAAGAGTTCTTATTCAAGCAGAGAGAAATTTTGCTGCATCTACGAAGACCCTCGCGGGTGTAACATGAAACCAGGTGTATAGATAAATTGCCCGACATTATTAACTTCTATCACTTGTATTCAAATTACATGCCGAATTCAGCGGCATACGTAAGGTGAATAAAATATCTGCAAACATTTACTTATTTCATATGGACCTTTTGATATCACAGCTCAACATTGATCAAAAATTCAAATGAATCTATAAAAATGGAAGCTGGGGCCATGACATACTGGGGTCATAGACATTACTTTCATTGCTGAACATCAGACTTGTTAGATGCGAGTCGTCCATTGAAGAACTGGCAAGTGACGCCAATGGCGGACGGGGGAATGAAAATATGCCGACGTATACACTTTATCACGTTCACGTGTCTGATTGAATGCATACTACGATTACCCTGAGAAGCACCTAACCTTAATCTAATCTCTTAGAAAAATCAATGCAGTGAATTGATAAACACCTCCAAACTTTCTAATTCTGTCGCGTTTTACGAGGTGACGGACGACGGGCCAGCGCAACCATCCGACGTTTTCTTCCCCGTATTCACGGACAACTGTTTTTCTTTGCCAGAAAAGGCGTGGCTTATGGCGGAGGTGGCTAGCCTGGTCGCGGTGGAGCCACCTTGCTTGGCATAAGGCATGTGCAGCGTCGAGTACAACTTCTCCGCCTTTTGTGGCCCAATACCCGGGCACGTCGATAACTCTTGTATTGACGCCTTCACAATGCCTGCGGGTGGATAGTATATATATTGCAAGCAAAGTATAAATGTACTTCAGAGGAATGGCGCCAAAACTTTTCATGAAAATGTGATAACTAAGAATAATGAATGATAGTTGCACGTGGTAGTGCTCGGATGAAGCGAGCTGGCTTAACGACGTCATTGCAGATGAACGATATTAGTGTGTCTAGAAGAAATTGAATTATTAGCACGAAAGCAATTAGCAGAATTTAGATAAATTAGATACATACATGGGCGCATTACGTAATAACATTTCTTAAAACCAACAATTGACTAATTATGGTTAAACAGGTTGATCTTTCATAAAGATCATCAATTTTTTTAAACAGATCCAGAAAAAGTAATATCACCTTCGAGGGAGCCGAAATTGGAGAGAAGTGTCATGGCGTCGGGCCGACTGATGCGGTGCACGCTCGTCAGGGCCTCGATCAGCTGTCGTATAATATAAGTTTAGGCTCATTTAGCAGTAAAGTGTGGTGCAATCTTAACAAAATATATCATCTTTTGCTTGATAAAAACATTCTCGAGAAGATGAAATAATTAAGTGAGGTCGCCGTGAATAAAGCACAGACTTCTTCCTCAGTAACGCATAGAATACACACGCTAAAACTGTAATGCTCATAAAAAATATTCGTCTCAATGGACAGCTATATTTTCGAGCAATAAAATTCATGAAATAAACGATCTCGATAACGAATTAGTCGTAGCTCGTATTCAAAATTACTTATCTCGAAACTTAATAGAATTGAATTTCTTTTCGGTACGAAAAAGTTACTTAGGAAGTACGAAGTAATGCGCGAACGCTGCTGAGTGCATTAGCCCTGACCCTGAGCGTGGTGGAAGTGTGCTGGCGCTCCATGATGAGGTCAGGGGGCTTGTGCTCGAACATTTTATAGACCTCGAGCACCCGGGCGGCCTCCTCAGCGCTCCAGGCCAGCATGAGCGTCAGGTCGGCCATGACACTGACGCGGCTCAGCTGCTGCAGCTCCTTGTGCGGGTCGCTCACGTCTATCTTCCCATTATAAGGCAACCCAAACAACACATTACATCACAACTTAGGAATGATCAAGTTAGCCCTGCTGTTGTCATCGGGTCAAAATGAACAACAATTCCGACCCTATGACCAGAGGGCACAAAACGAATACCGGAAATGAAGAGAACACGAAGGCTAAGCTGAAAATATGGCACCTAATTAAGACGTTGATAAAGTAGCTCCGGATAAAAATATCTCCTAAAAATTTAGAATCATGATGAACGTAATATGAAAATTTATATTCATTGAACATAAATACAGAGCTTTCTTGGAGTCGGCAAAAAATAACTGCCAGAAGAAAAATAACATTTATTTGGTGGTGGCGTTTTGGGTGGCTGAAAGAAGGATACGGTACCTCGCTTGTTACCTGTAGCAGGAGCCCTCAGTTGTTGGTGGCATGTTAAGTGGCTCAAGGAAGGATGCCTCGCTTATTACCTGTAGCAGGAGCCCTCTCAGTTGTTGGTGTCATGTTAAGTGGCACTAGGAAGGATACCTCGCTTGTTACCTGTAGCAGAAGTACTCTCAGTTGTTGGTGTCATGTTAAGTGGCACTATGAAGGATACCTCGCTTGTTACCTGTAGCAGAAGTACTCTCAGTTGTTGGTGGCATGTTAAGTGGCTCAAGGAAGGATGCCTCGCTTATTACCTGTAGCAGGAGCCCTCTCAGTTGTTGGTGTCATGTTAAGTGGCACTAGGAAGTAGGAAGGATACCTCGCTTGTTACCTGTAGCAGAAGTACTCTCAGTTGTAGGTCGCATGTTAAGTGGCTGAATGAATGATGCCTCGCTATTTACCTGTAGTAGAAGTACTCTCAGTTGGTACTGCTGGCCAAGAAGCTTGAGACGCTCATGGATGTACTGTGGGTTGAGGCGGTGGTAGCGCATGCTCAGGAACACAGCGCAGGTTGTGGCCCCCATGAGGTAGTCGGCCACAATCTCGCCATACTCGTAGGGGACATTGCGGATGTGCTTCAGCAATGGGTTGCCTCTCTGTAGTTTATTGAACAACTTTATTCACTTGTTCACTGAAGTTTAAGTTCATGAATGACAAATGGAAATAAAGCAGCACAATGTTCAGGATTCATATTAAGTTTGCTTCTGGACTAACACAATTCATTGTATTTGAACATCAAATATTGACAACTGACAAATTGAGAGCAAAAATAATGTTGAGATCATTATCAATCCTGTTATAATGAATTATGATGAAGTCCTTGTTGTTAACATGGACACATGTTAAGATGGTCATAACCTTGTTCAAAGTGGGAACATCAAAATAAAACTATTATTTCATTTTGTTAGAAAAATAGTTCGTACTGATTTTCAAATAAAACCAATTTGTGTCATTGGCACGATATTCAATAAATTCCTTAATGGATTCAGTAAGTGCAGGACATGCTTCCAAGAATCCCTCCACTACTCCTACAAGAACTAAGCAGCACACCTGTCGTGAGCTCACTATGATGCTGTTCTTAGAAGGAAGCCGTGTTGGCAGTTGCAGGTCTTTGGGGCAGCCTGAAGGCACATCTTGAGCACTGGCATACACTGTGGTGTCTTTGAGGGCGCCAAAAGCACCTGAAAAAATCCATTTAATATTAATATTATGTATAGTATGTCAACATTTTCAAGCAGCTAAAATGTGAAAATCATTTTAATGGCATAATTTTTAATTACAACAAATTTACTTCTAAAATTTTATTTTATGTGTTTACTATGTAATAAATACAGCTAATAAATTAAAAACCTTGGTTTTCATTCATGTGTTACTACTGCATTTAGTCATAATCAGAATCACATGGACATTCTTTTATCCGGAATGCAGCTTCCAACATATATATTAACATGAATTCCAATTCAAGTTCAGGGGTATTGCAGACTGCAATGCTGCATGATATTCAACACAAAGTTATCTGTTTAGGATTTAGGGGCAGCAAACATATTAATTGTGATAATTTTTAATCAAACAAAAGACATTCCAGTCACCAAATCAAATTCTGAATAAATATAAGTGATTGCACAGGAATTGATGAATCAACAATTTCTCTTACAGTAGGAAGTCTGAAAAAAAATTTGAAATTTTGCATGAATAAAAATCCAAAATCAGAAGTCAGCTGACAGCCTGTCAGGACTTACTGGAAAAATTTGAGGTTGAAGATCCACCAGGTCCATCATTCTCATTTTTACTTTCCAATGAATTTTTGCAACTCATTAAACTCAGTTGAAACACAACAATACCAACATTCAACAATTAAAATATAATAGAATAGTTTGAAATGTGAAATTGTGTGAAAAAAATTTGTAACTCAGGCCAATTTTATTCTTTTGGCAATTTGTGGGAGCTATGCAGACTTGTCCAATGTGGCCCCAAATCACAATGAGTTATTTAGATGCCACAGAATAATTTTTATGCCATAGACTGTCTGACAGTCTCCGTCTGCAAGAGCCTTGAGGATTTGCCCACGGCCTCAGGACTGGATGCTGTAAGCACCAGCTAGTTGTTGCACAACTCTGGGCAGGCATACAAATATTGAAAAAAGTAGTGCCTCACTGGCTCAGTAGACTGTAAGAATAGTATGTTCATGACTGAAAGTATGTTTGATAGACATATTTTGTAAGACAATTCATTGACATAAATAACTATATTTCATTCCAAGTTGATGCTTAACACGTTAAGTGCGGCACGACCCACCGGTGGGTCGTAGCCGACATCCCTCTGCTGCGAAACGACCCACATGTGGGTCGTGAATTTTATTGCGCTAACACGTAGAGCACATTGACAAACATACACACACAACCTCCCGCTTCGATGTCTGGAGAGGCACTGACGATATAGCAACCCAAACATAGCCGCACCTGCGGGCTGTCGGCAATTTTGGCCCCCGCACTTAACGTGTTAATGCACTACACTGCGCCTCACGCAAGTTTGTATGCATTACTGATTACTGAATGTCCAGCCTGGAGCTTCTTCACACCAATTACTAATAAATTCTCCCAATCCCGCACACACATACGACGGGATGCTTATTTCATGGTATATATATTTTTTTTAACTGTGCGTTCTATTAATCCTGTGCTAGGTTAGTGTCTAGTCAATTGTTGGTAACATTTATTTTGTGACTGTAACAAGGAATCTCATTTAACTGTGATATTATTTTGTTAATTCAAGGGTTTAATTTATCTATGACTAAGTAATGCGTAAACAAACATTTATTTTATGACTGTAATATGGAATCTCATTTAACTGTGTTAACTATTATTTTGTTAACTAAAGGGTTTAATTTATTTGACTAAGCAATGCGTAAACGAATATTTATTTCGTGACCATAATATGGAATCTCATCTAGCTGTGGTGTTTGTAGGATTTAGTTAGTGTNACACTAGCACCAACATACAAACAGTTCATCAGAACAGTGCTGGCTTATGCCAGCCCCGCCTGGGCGCCCGCACTATCCAACACAAACATACAGAAACTCCAAACACTAAAAAACAAAGCACTCAGGATAGTCAGGATAGTCACAGGTGACTTGAAGTGAGAAGAAATGTTGCATGCGACGCATGGATGTTGGTAAGCTAAAAACTTTTCCCCGCAACTTCTGGCAACATCGCCAATCGAGCTCGGGAACCGTTAGAGGTTCTATTCAAAATTAAGGCGTGCTACTGATCGGGTATGCTCTAGGTATCTTTCGAATAACCACTGGGCCACTTTTATCGTGTAATCACGAGTACCTAATAAACTACCCGAACTCGTCCACTACCTATTAGGCTACGGCCAGACTAAAAGCGTTCACACATATGCTGGCTGATGCTTCAAGCCGAGCAGCACCGTGCATATAGTGTCCAAACTAGACGATGGACCGCGCAATTTACTGCGAGTCAGTGTGTAGAAATGAGTGTCGGCAAGAGACTAACAGCCGTTCTCCTTGATGAAAGTTTTATAGGGAGTGGCAAATAAAAGATAATTTTTAAAATCCCATATATACTTTGTTTTGTCTTTTTTGTAATCCGTTCAGATGAGGTTATATATGATGCATACCTCACGAGTCATGATGAAACGCCACTTGTGTTGATAGGTGATTCAGCTTACCCATTGCTTCCTAACTTGATGAGACCATGCCCCTGCCAAAACAATGAAAGCAAGAAAATATATACGTAGTTCTGCAGCTCACTAATGGGAATAGACATTCCAATTTTCTATATCCCTTTGATGCAATTTAAAATAGTGCACTAAATTTCTCTAATTAAAAAAGCTAACAAGTTATAATGAAGTTTGAGCCATAGATAAATTTTTTGACCAAAATACTCTATGTACTGCACAATAATATATTCATTTAAAAATTATTTTTGACAAACTGTACCTAGGGTAATAAAGGACCATTTGTGTGGGAAGACGGGACCATTTGTGGGGTAAGATAGGACCACTTGTGGGGTAAAAC